TATTCTGACAATCACTGCGATTCCTCCTAAAATGGTGAATTTCAAATTGAGGTCAGGGTCTTTGAATCATGCTCAGGGCTCCAAGAGTTCTTTGTGGGAATTGAAATCTTTTGTGTTTTTGTTTTAGTGATCTTTTAAAAATGTGTGTGACTATATTCTGTATAATATGAACCACCTTAATAACTGAGTTGCAGAGTTTCCAGGTAGTAATATTTTAATTCTCATAAGCTATGAGTAAAGAATTAACTTATGAGCTGGAATTAAGCTATGAGATGGAATTAATATAAATATGTGACCAAGAGACACTGTGAGTGAAAAGCAGAACGTTTTAAATGCAGAATTCAGTGGAAATAGTTTCACAAGGCAACATAGCCTGTGCTCAGATCCCCAAGGCTCCTGAAGGATGTACCACTGTTAATATCACCTGCAAGGAAGGGAATTCTTCCAGGCAAGAGAAACCTACCTTTGACGTCTTATAGAGTTTCTTCTATACTGGCTCTCTCCACCACTCCCTCACTCCACTCTTGGGATACAGGCTATGTGCCTTCCTGCTTATCAGATATAAGAAACTGGTGCAAAACACCACCCCCTCCTCCCCACAGCATGTTCCTAGTCTTTAGTGTGAGACCAGGGGAAGCAAAGTGCTTAACATTCCTCAGGCAGACCCAGGGGTCAGGCTTGACTGTGAATCCTTCCTGCTCCCTTCATTCTGCATTCTTGAGAAGTCATTGGCTGGATCTTTCAGTTTCCTAATTTATTCTTTAACTGTCATTTCTGCTGCTCATATACTGAGTTTTCTTTAATTATTGCTAACACTTTTCATTCGTATATTCCTGAGTTGATTAATGGATGCATTATCTGCTTACATCTGTCTGAGGGTAATAATTGTGCTGTCCTAAGGTTCTCTTGTGCTTTGTTAACTCTGATTCATTGGCTATAATGTTTGTTTTTGTTTTCTGTCCTTAATGGAGTTGGCTTTGTCACATTGTTTGGTCATTCCTGAGTGTAATTCATCTTTGTAGTTGAGATTCTACTGCGTTTGTTTCCCAGCTTTAGGGGAGAAGTGAAATGAGCTGTTGGGGCTTATTACTCCCAATGGGTTCCCCTGAGAATAAGGCCGAGGTGGAAGGTGCCTTCTAGTGGCTAGTCAGGGAGTGCATACCTTTCTTCCAGGGTTCTGGGACCTTGTCCCCTTTATAACACCAATTGCTCCTGCCTAGAGGAAGACACCTTTTGTTTCCTGGATCAAGGAGGGAAGATGTGGGGTTGATGTGTGCTGTAGGCTGCTCCTACCACACTATTCCAACTGATCACCCTGTAGGTAGCTCCGGGACATTTCTGGTAGGGGGGCATTTGTGCAGCTGCTCCCACACATTGAGCTAAGGTTGTGAATTTTATGTTATATCTTTTGTATCATTCTTAGCGATTTTGGTGGAAGTTGAAGGGGTGGAGACCTGACATGTTTCAACCTGCCAGCTTG